ATTTAGCTGAGAAGTGGGCTTGAAAATGTACCTGCGGATTTTTCTGTAGCACTGAGCCATCAGGGCTATCAGGATTCCTGGACCATTAGGATTCCTGGAGGACTCTGAGAGAGGAGCCTAAGAGCAGGGGTGCATCTTCAGTGTACTCGAAGTATGAAAACGATAGGATGCAGAATCCAGAGCCAGATGAAGGGCTGTGGTTCCTGGGACCCGGGAAGGAAGGAGGGGCAGTTGCTACAGTTTGTGGGGTTCTGGTGTTTACTCCAGTGACTTGGTTCTCCTAAAACCTGAGTGGAGGCAGAGCCTAGGGAAGCTTTCATTCATGTGCATAAGGACAGGAAGAGGGGGCTGGATGGCTGCTCGCTTCTGAATCTCACTCAGTCCATGATCTATATCAGCTGCTCCGTTCTGCATCACAGTACATTTTTTTTTTCTTGGAGAGGTTTTTACTATAGAGCGCGTGTGCTCTCCAGAAAAATAGAGAGAGACAGAAAGCAAGAAATCATCCCCCAGGGGGGATGGCCACACCACAATCCCTTCCCCTCCATTCTCTTCTCAGAATCTTGGGCACACACACACACACACCCGGCATGAGTCCAAGCCACCGGGTCTGGGACTCAAATCGGGGTATATTACATGGGAGTCCAGCAACATAGCCGTTATGCTAACTGCTGGTCCCATTTGCATTTTTTTCTATATTATTAGGGTTATTGGTACCCACTATGACTCTCTTAGTATACTGTAGATGTACTTTAGTGTCCTATAAGTTGATAGATGCTTTGATGAAGGAGACAGACCCAGAGATATGTGGGTTCTACCTGTGTGAGGAGTAGGTACCATTTGTTAGGAGCATCGCCACACTCCTCTGCTTCTATTTCTGCATCTGGAATGCAATGGCACATCCAAGCTAGACCATTTCATGAGGTTTCATTTTGTGTAAATAGTCTATGGCTATGGGATGCTGCAGGCTGACATACAAAGAAATGCATGCATGTTATACAAGCTTCTTGAATGTCCAATTTTATCATTGGATTACTGAATGAGAAAATGTATTATGAAAACATCCAGAATAGGGTCTGGCATGTTGGGGAATTGCTAACCACAGGAGCAGTCAGTCATTTCACTAGTGAGATGGGAGACCAGATGTACTCTCGCCTCCTAGATTAAAGCCCTCAAAGAATGACACAATCCAGGAAATGTGCTAAATGAAGTGCCATAAATTCATAGCAGAGGAAGGAAGTCCAAAAAGAAAATATTAAAGCATCTTTTTCATATATATTTTATTATTTTTGTACAATCTCTGTATATCATTAAAGCTTGTAAAATGAATTTTCCCAGCATGAATACACTGTATATTAGTCCAGTCAAAGATATTATTAAATACATTGTCATCGACAGATAATTTTCCATTTTTGTGTCTCTAAAATGTTTTGCTTCTTTTTTTCCCCTTGATTTTCTCCCTTTCACTCTCTCCCATTTCCCACTCTCCTCCCACGCAGTCTCTAATATCCACAGTTGCTCTCTATGCTTTTATATCTTCAAATTCATTAGTTTCTGTCCTAGAAAGAGCACCACTTTTAATCTTTCAGTAATGGCTCTAATGATCTAAGAGAAGATATTTATACAACCTGGTCAAATAAAGATCCACCTTGGGTAGTTTAAAGTTTTATTATTGAGCTCTCTGCAGAGATGTTTGCAGAGAAAAAGCAAGTGAGCAGGGGCATATTTGCAATGTTGTGAGCAGGACAGAGACAACTGACTTCCAGCCCTGTCTCCTTCTGTCTGTATGAATGTATTCCATGAAAGACCAGAAGTATGTGCTGAAGATGGCTGTGTGACGTGTTGGTAGGAAAATAAGTTGTTGCATTTGGAGCCACCATTTATGCTGTGTCCCATTTCCCACCTATGTCACCACGGCTAACCTGTGCTAAAGGTGCTGTTTCTGTGAACGTGCATGATGATGGTGATGTGAGAGAGTTGCCTATCAGATTCTACAAGAACAGCTGAATGTTGCTAACAGCACAGAGCACGTGACCAGGGGTGATGTTTAGATACTGTTGGAACCAGTTCTTCTCTCTACTGTTGAGGGTGTGAGCACTCAGGGTCTGGGAACTGCCTCTCCCTTTCCCATTATATCTTTGTATTCCTGAAAATTTAGTTTCTCTCTCTCTCTCTCTCTCTTTTTTATTTATTTATTTATTCTTTGTGGCGAGATACTTAAGGTCTACTCACACAGCGTGTTTCAAGTTGGCGAGATTCTTAAGGTCTACTCACACAGCGTGTTTCAAGTATACATTATTGTCTATAGCACAATGCTGTACACTGGGTCTCTAGAAGGTATTCGTCTCATCACTGAACATTCGCACCTTTTGACCAACATCTCCCTGCTCCCCCCTGGGCAGCACCTTCTACCTCTGCTTCTATGAGCTTGACTTTTAAAAATTCCATATATAAGTGACATCATGCAGTATTTGTCTTTCTGTGTCTGGCTTATTTCCCTTAGCGTAACGTCTTCTAGGTTCATCCTTGTTGTTGCAAAAGGTGGAATTTCCTTATTTTTTAAGGCTTAATGATATTCCTCTGTGTGTGTGTGTGTGTGTGTGTGTATACACACCATATTTTCCCTGTCCATTTATCTATAAAAAGATTTTGGGAGTTCAGCAGATGGCATAGTGGTTAAGGCACTGAACTTCCACATGGATGATTGTGGTTTGAGCGCCAGAAGAGGTGGCTTGAAACTCAGCCTGAGTGCATGTGCATGCATGCCCAAAATCCCAACAGGAGAATGGAGAAGAAGGGATTGCAGCATTGGCATTTCTCTGAGAGGTGATATCTCTCTGTATCTCTAGCCAGTGCACACACCTTATGTTAAAAATATCTCTCTCAAAAAGTAAGACATTTGGGTTGTTTCCATATTTTAGTTATTTTGAATAAAGATATAACATATGGGAGTATAAGTATCTCTTTAAGATAGCAATTTTATTTCCTTTGAATATATACACTGTGGTGGGGTCACATGATAGCCTCAGTTTTAATTTCATGAGCCACCTTCCTTCAGAGGTTGACTTCACCTGAAGTTCCAACTCACCAATCATACGCTTTATTGTGTTTTCAACCTGTGCCCTTAGACAAACTTCTTCCTTCAAAACATCATAGAACAAGTCTTTTTCCTCTGATAAATGGTTATTCTTTATCTATATGAAGAAACTTTCATACTCCCTCTCACCCCAGGTATGTACATGTATGTGTATATGTACGCTTATGTATAGGTATCTTTTTAATTTAAACACTTTCAGTAGTCTACTGTGTTCCTAAAGTAATGTCATTCTTAGACCTTCACTCAGCCAATTTATTCTGGACTGTTTCTGATCTAGAATGCTCTCATTTGTATGTAGAAGCTGGAACGGCACACAGCATTGCAAATATACTCCTGCCAGAAGGAAATGTATCTATAGCACCTGATGGGGCAATTGCAGGCTTTGGCAAGGTCTAATTCTTTATAAGCACTGTCTAATGTAAGTAGCTTTTGTATAGCCACCTGATAGGACTGGCTGATACTGGGCAGCTCATCAAGTGAAATGCTAATCATGAGTCAGCACTTTAGCTCAGGAGGACGGGGATGGGGAGATATAGTAGAGTGAGCTGGAAGTCAAGTTCAGTGGAAGAGTGGACGGTAGGAAGAGGACTATGGGTGGTGTTGTTGCAGACAGGCAAGGGGGACAAGACCACTCTGTTCATGATGAATGCATAAATCAAGTCTAGGATGGAGGAAACCTCAGCAGACATTAGGCACACACATTGGGAACCAGAAACAGAATTTATACTCAAGAAATGTTTCTGGAAAATTCTATAGTAGAATTACTAAATAAATAGCTCCCACCACTTTCCTGCTATGAGACAGAACATTCCTCAGTGTGTGGCTGACTCCATGATGAAAAGGAAAAAACAACCAGGCTGACATAGCTGGAGGGGGAGCGGAGCAGGTGGCAAACAGACAGAGACCAAGATGCTCCGTGGCAAACTGTAGGGATTTTGTAGTTGTGTAGGTTGTTCAGATTCTGTACCTTTTAATTTATTAATGTTTATTTATTCCCCATGGTGTTTTAGAAAGGACTTAATGTGCCCTCATTAGGGAATGCAAAATATAGATGGTAAGATAAATTAAAAGCGAGCCAGAAGAAGAAAAATATAGGCATTGCAACCGAAAATGGAGAAAAAACATTGTGCTTACTGCAACGGCTTCCTCATGCCAGCCGCACATTCGTCCCCACACACTTAAAACGACCAATTAGAAAGAAGAAAACCAATTACTCTTGGAGTTTATAGTGTCTTGCCTGAAGTTATGAAGTTCCTCTTGATGCAATAATAGTTGGAATTTGCTGGGGAAAGGCTATCACACTGCAGTATTATGAACCGCCTTTATCATAAAATCCTTTTAATTGATGAGTCGATGGCAATTTCTTCCTTTTGGCTACTGGCATTACACTAATGCCTACATCTGAGAAAACAAACAAAGCAAAACAAAGCAAACAACTCCCCAAACAAAATTGATCCAATGACATGGTCCAGTTTTCCATCCGTCTCAGTCTGGCTTGACCTAATGGTGAATTTTTGAACATCGATCTAGTTTCTATCTAACCTCCTTTACATATTGTTTCTTAGCCTGAGTCTGCTTCCTCACTGTAAAATGTGAATAACATATTACTTAGGCCACTGAGATACTGACAAGTATCACACAGTAAATGTGGTGACAAATATGCAAGTGCCTATAGTCTAGCATGCATAATACATGCGGGTCATGTCTGACAATGGCAAAACAAGTCCTGCTCATGAAGCTGAGTTGCAAGATGGGATTTGTCATTCTTTGTTGCTAATGGATCTGGGCCTGGATGAAGCAAACAGGAACTGTCTGTGGGCATGGTCTACATGACTTGAGTGTAGACTGTGACTCACCTCTCGGGAGAGGGCTCAAGGCTCACTTTTCAATTTGTCTTTTACAGGAATAACACTCTATAGCCATCCATATGGAGGGGCCTTGCTGAATGAGGACAAGATGTGAGTTGAAGGAATGCCTGGGACAGGGGACAGGGGAGGATGATGTCAACTATGGAAAAAAATCTTTGGGTTACATAGGGGTCATTTTAAGCCCTTTTAGACATTTGCCTTGATCAATGCTGGCATATATAGTTAGTGGTACAGAACTTGGGCATTTCTTTGCAGGGGATAAAGAAACTATTGGAAAAGGAAGAGCAATGAGTGAGTTTAAAATGAATAAGTAGAGGGAAACTCCCACAGTGCAGAGGTTAAGCACTGTGTGTAGGGAGACAGATTCCACATGGCTGATTGCAACTTGAATCCCAGCCCTGGCAGCTTGATAAAGATGCCGGGCACACATCTGTGCATGCCCCAAATCCTGATGGAATGGAGAAGTGAAGAAAAAGAGACTGTGGCATGAGCATGTCCCAATTGGGGGATGCTTTCTCTCTAGTTTCTTTTCTGGTGGGTGCACGTTTCCTCCAGCAATAAAGAAATAAAGTTAAATAAGCAAATTAAAAAATATAAAAAATGGATGAGCAGATCATGTAGCTACAATTATAAGGTGAAATCATTTGAAGGGGATGATTTCCCTGAAGCTTACAGGACTTCATATCTTCCAGACCATTTTTGGGTTAAGATCATAAATGTAATATTCATATAGATAAATGTAGTAATACCCATTTGGGAAATTCTCAAGGAAGACTTTCCTTAGGTACAGAGGCCAGTGTTCTTTGTGTATAAAATTATGTGTCTGTTCTCATTGTATTAATTAAAGGTTCAGTGCTCTACCTGTCTTCTCTTTTTTTCCACTTCTTATCTCCCTTTTCCATCATGTGGTTGAAAAACTAAAAGTTTGCTATGGTTGACAATAAAAAGTAAGTATTAGTTGTCTACTTTCCATGCCTTATCTTTCTTTCCATCAGAGAATGTAAATCTGCTTCATGGTCATTCTCTGCCCAAGTTCATAATGCAGCAGGACCATGGGCTGTTATTTACCCTCACCTTCACAAACTAATTTTCAGGATTCAACCCTCTTTTTTGCCAGAGGGAGCATGTGCTCACCAGGTAGAGACAGAGAGCTAGAGAGGAAGAAAGCATTTTTTAATGGGGTGTGGGTACACTGCAATTCCCTCTACATTTTTCCATCCTCTCAGGATTTGGGGTACGTGTGCACACATGACCAGTGTGTCACCAAGGCTAGGATTCAAATCACAGTTGGCCATGTGGGATCCAGCTCCGTTAACCACTAGCCTATGGGACTGATCCAAGATTCTGCTTTTAACAATCTTCGATGCCTGCCCAGAATCCCAGGAGTAAGCTAGTTGTTATAGAGCCAGACACAATGGAAAAGAAGGCATGGCATGGTTTGTGTGAGAGATTTTATCAAGTAGGCACCTCAAAGACCATCTGTGGCCTGATTCTTCCAATACAGGGAGTGGAGAGAGGAAGTGACAATTGTCTCTGAGGGAGGATATAGTATTCAAGTGAAAAAATGACTAAGAGGAATCAGACAATTGTGCAGCAGTAAAACACAATGTTCTGAAAGACTGATCCACATGGGAAGTTTCGCAGTTCATGTCTGGAGACTTTACTGAGTACACTGGGCACATGTGTGCCCATGATCCTGTGAGACCTGAGACTGGGGTGGTTCCTATTATGAAGACTCTGTTGAAAATGCTTCTCTTCTCTATCAGTCTTCCTCTCACTCACTCACTCATGGAAGAAATAAAGAAAATACATATTTTTTTAAGAGAGAGAGCTTTTTTTTTCGTTTTTTGGAGGGGGTTTTGCTATAGGGTGCATGCGCTCACCAGACAGACAGAGAGAAACAGAGAGACAGAAAGCAAGAAATCACCCCCCCCGGGGGGGTTGGCGATGCCACAATCCCTTCTCCTCCATTCTCCTCTTGGGATCTTTGGCACACACACACACTCACATGCGCCCAGCGTGAGTTTAAGCCACCAGGTCCGGGACTCGAACCGCGGTCGACTATGTGGAAGTCCAGCGACATAGCCATTATGCTAACTGCTGCTCCTGGAGAGAGCTTTTTTGCTATAGGGTGTGTGCACTTGTTGGAGAGACAGAGACAGAAAGTAAGAAATCACCCCCCAGGGGAATAGGCACACCACAGTCCCTTCTCTTCCGTTCTCTTCTTGACATCTTGGGTACACACACATGCCCAATGTGAGTTTTAAGCTGCTGGGTCCAGAACTCAAACCAGGGTTGACTACGTGGGAATTCAGCAATGTAACTTTTATGGCATCTGCTGATCTCTATAAATAAAATATTTTTAAAAATTATTTGTAAATCAACCAAGAAAGTATACATGTATATTATTGCAATATCATCTCAATCTGTTGCAGAATCTCTCTGATATTTTTAGTGACAAATTCTGAGATGGATCAGTGAAGTGTGGAGCTATACTGCATGCCCTCCCTGGCAGGTGTTGCTTTGTGGCAAAGCAGGCCCACAGTGGGCAGAGGTCACAGCTTCCCATGGAAACCACTCTGGGATGCCTTTACCTGAGTCAGGCCCCATAGTCAATTGCAGACTTTGAGATAGGCAAACTCCATAGTGCCCTTAGCTTCATGCTCTTGTTGTATCTTCTCTAGATATTGTTGGCAGTCTAGACTTTTACCATCTTTTCTTCTACTCCTTTGAAAAGATTTACTAAAGGAGGTAATTTTCTCTTTTCCCCAATGAGAAATTTTGCAATTCTGTTCAAGTTTCTAATTTCCTAGTTTTCCAACCTTTTCTAGATTGCAAACAATAATCTATGTTGCAGGAGGTGTTTAGGGGATTTAATATGCCTTCTTGGACATATATTCTTTTCTTCTTTTTATAATTGTCAGTGGGTGCATGTGTTTGCCAGAGAGAGAGAGAGCAAGGGAGAAAACAAACCCAACGGGATATGGTCATGCCACTGCCCCTTCTTCTCCATATTTCCATCTTATTGGAATTTGGGACATGCATGCACATGCCTGGCGTGTTTTCTGAGCCAAATCAAGCCAAGAATCAAATCCCATGGTCAACTATGTGGGAAGAGGGCCTATATATTTCCTTTATAAAAGAGAGGAGGAGATAAACAGAGATAGGTATTTCAACAGAGGCTCACTGTGTATGATCCTCTTGTCCCAGACTCCTAATTAGTAAGAATTGCAAGTGAACACAACTGTGCCTGGCATGTTTAGACTGGCCTCAGAATTGAACCTGGGCCTCCCATGTGGATTTCACTGCTGTCTTCAACACTAACTACTATTAGCAGAAAGAAGACTTGTGTACTTTGTCTGCCACCTGATATACTGCTTTGTTTTGCCTGCAGCCTGGAGAGTATCCGCCAGTGTGGTGTTGCCCTCTGCATTGTACTGGGATTCTCCATCCTGACTGCATCGATCGGCAGCTCTGTGGTCAGGGACAGAGTGACTGGAGCCAAAAGGTTGCAGCACATAAGTGGCCTTGGCTACAAGACGTACTGGTTCACTAACTTCCTGTATGACATGGTAGGAGTTAGGAAGGAGAACCTATGTGCCTCTGCCCTGGTGTTGTAATTAGGGGTGTGTGTATGTGTGCGTGTGTGCATGTACATATGTGGATGTGTGTGTGTAGGGGGTAGGGGACCATGGCAGGCTTGGATTATCCACAAAAGAGGAGATCATTTTGCTGATAAGAGCATTTTTTAAAAAATTTATCATTATAGACCATTTAGGATTGTTTCATAATGGAGAGACTGACAAGTTTCAGGTTGGAAATCTGGGAAATTAGACACCTGCACAGAAATGCAAAGTTTCTCACTGGGAAAAGAGAAAATTACCACCTTCAGTAAATCTTTTCAAGGGAGTAGAAGGAGAGATGATACAAATCATTGGAAATCATCTGTCATCTGTAAACTATCTAAAAGCCACCCTAGTGAGAGCTGGGCCTCATTCCCTATATTGTGTGGCAGGTATTAACATTATAGGAAATGTTCAGTTCCCCAGTTGACATCCAGACCACTGTTTCTGTCCCTAACAGCAGAGTAACAGATGCATGCATGGTAAAGTTATGAAGACATTGTATTTACCTTTATCAAAAAGAGCATCTAATATGCTAGAGAGCTCTTCAGTGTAAACATCCTCATTGTTACGTTCTAGAATTGTCCTTTTTGTGGAAAAGTGTTATCTTTGCCTTTATAAATATTATTTGTCCTATCCTATTTTCTTTTGATCATGTAGCCTGGAATATTTCTTGAAAGTACTATTTGTATGGGTCACATCTAAGCCCCTCAACATTTCAAGAGTTTATTTCATTTAATTGGGATTTCCGCCAACTACGCTCAGTTATAGTAACCACTTGGGCATTTAGTAACTGAGGACTCCCAAAGGCTGCTCTTCACATTCTGTTTAGTTGGTCTGGGTGGAACTTTGAGTTCTGAATTTTAGTTAGCACCCATGGCACCAAGGCTGAGCAATGCTGGTTCTTGAACCCCTCATGTTTACCAAAGAACATCTGAAGGCAGGAGAAGGAAGTGATGTGGCCAGGCTTGTTAAATCCAGCACTTCAGTGTAGCCCCTGGGTTCAGGTCTGCCTCCAGTGCTACATACATACTCCCACTGACCACTTACTGCCCCATCTGCATTTCATAGCATCGAATGGCCATGACTTTCCAGAGAAAAGGGAAGAAGGATGCACCAAGGGAGAATAAGAGCAATGAAGGACTCAAGTCTCAGGACACCTTGGAGTGTCCGGGGCTTCTGAAGCCCCAGGACCTCCCCTCTTTTCTACATCGTCCCCACTAAAGGGAGAGAGATAATAACCTTCACCAAGTGTTGAAAGATTATTTTCTTCTTGGTTGACTGTTTTCTTACCTTCATCCAATCATTCCCTGCTTATTCTATTAATCACTCATTTGAAGAATTTTTCGAGGCTCTGCTTTAGGTCAAGGTATATACAAGATTGCTGAGAACTATTTGTATTCCCTCTAAAATGTGTATGTTAAAACCTCATTTCGAATGTGATATTATTTGGAGTTGGGCTTTGTATGGTGATTAGGCCATAAGTAGAGTGCTCATGAATCTATTATTGCCCTTTTGAGGGAGATTCCAGAGCACCGAGGGTGAGGACACAGCCGAGGGTGAGGACACAGTTAGAGGCCCAGTTTATGAACCAGGTGCAAGCCCTCCCCCAGGCACTGAACTAGGCAATTTTTTTTTTTTATTAGTCAGGTTGTTTCTTTTTATTTAATACATTCTAGTCAAATAGCAACAGCAGTAAATAAACACTTTGAAAAACAGGCAGGCATCCCTCCTATATCTGGAAGAAAATTAAGTCAAGGTATTCTACATGGTAGAAGGGAGACAACCGCTGATGTCCATGGTTAGACAATTTAAGGGCAACTTAAAAACTTTGACAGCCATTTCCGAAAAGGTCAATGGCAACAAGTTGGGACACAGCTACTTGAAAGGGTAACATGTCTATATCTACATTGCTTTTTATTAACAGGGATTGAGTTGTACCTGTATAGCATGGCGTTCTTGCCTTTAGCCTTAAAGGAAAAGAGAAAGTCTTTTCCATTAGCACCAGTTTGAAAGAATTCTGAAATAAGGCTCCCTTAAAATAGATTACTACAGTACTCATTCACACGAAGACAGTGCATAACGTGTAGTAAAAAGACAAATACAGGATTTCATGGTCAAC